CAATATATTTCATCTTAACACTAGATCTTGAGTATATAAAAATATTGGGGTGTGTCAAATTTTAAAGACAATCGGATTCTCACATCACATTTTATAAAAGTTGTTATTATTCAAAATTTTGACCCTTTTTGGCCCTTGATGGAGTGGACCGATATTGTTCATTTTCGCACCTTACCTAGCACTGACGCAAAAAGTAGGTTTTGCAAAGCTGGAGCAACATCGGATTATTCTCTTTCTGTGCAGAAAACATATTTTTTGAAAATTTCGACCTTTTGTTGGGGAGGTACCAGAAGGTGTAAACCGATATATTTCATTTTAATGCCAGACCTTGGGATTATATATATTGAGGTTTGTGAAATTTGAAGACAATCGGACACTTACAACACATTTTATAAGAGTTATAATTTTTCAAAATTTTGACTCTTTGTGGGGGACGTACTTGATGAAGTGGACCGATATTTTCCATTTTCGCACCTGACCCAGCACTGATGGAAATAGTAGGATTTGCAAAGTTGGAGCAAAATCGGTTCATCCATTCTCTTCCTGTGTAATAAAATATTGTCTTTGAAAATGTCGACAGAAGGAGTGGACCGATATTGCCCATCTTCGAACTCGATCTAAGTTTGACAAAAATATTACCATGTACCAAGTTTGGACCAAATCGAATACTCCCTTCGAGAGTTATCGTGCGAACCAGTCAGCCAAACTGACGGCCGGACGGACGGTCATTGCTAGATCGACTCCAAAAGTCCTGAAACGGATTTGGTCCAAAGAGACTTGGGGTCTAAAACCGTTATTTCGACGAGGCACGTTTTGGCCGTATCAAATGATATAGGGTAAGTGTACCAGTAGTCGGCATTTTAGGATTTTCGCGTGTTTAATCGCTCACCATTCTGAGTGGAACTTTTCAATTATTACAAAGTTAATTTATTCAGATTCGAAATTTTTTATAGTTTTTGCAATAATAAATAAAGTTTTTATATATTTTTAGTAAATTTCATAAATTTATAGTTTATTAAAACAATGTTTTTTTTTTGCCAGTAGTTGGCACCACTTGCCAATAGTCGGTATGGCATGTTCCAACAATCGGCAAACCAATTTTTTTGTAAGAATAATTAATAATAATAATAAATTAATTCATTAAAATATAATATTTTTGTTTAATTAAACTGATTCGACGTCTTTATTGTACTTTTCTTAAGAATATGGATTGTTGAGGACCTTCACAGACAAAAATTTAATTTTTATTAGAATAAATCATCTTTTCTTAGCGAAATTGTACACAAAGATAGCTGACAATATATTTGAAGTAAACAATGTACATTTAGTTATAATAGTTTCATTTATTTGGGCTTAAAAATAAAAAGGTGCCGACTGCTGGGACATGCCGAACTTAGGCACACTTACCCTATACCGTCTCTAGCCATATGGCTGAGAGTATAATTACTATTGCTAGAATTTATTATAATTTTCGATTCACATTGAAAAAAAAATGTTTGATGTCAAACAATTTGAAATCTAATGTCAATAAAGTATTTTGACAGAAAAATTACTTGAACGAAATCATTCAGCTTCTCAACTTTTGACCGCGAAGAAGCTTTCGACCGCTTAAAAAATCATAAAAGAGGGTCTACTTCGCTAGAGTGTTTTGGATATAATTATGTAAATCGTTTAAGAGCACATGGATATAAATAATTTTTTGATTTCCATATTCTTGCGAAATATATAGACAACTCGCCAAAAATAACTAACTAATAAAAAAATAACTAACTAATAAATAAGTTTGGCCAAGCTACAGGAGGTAGAACCAATCATGAACTCAAATACGAAATATCGGTAGATACGAAAATATGGAGATTATAGGAAAACGTGTAACTATATAGAAAATATTCTTTGGGGTCATTCGCCAAAATACGGAATATAGGGAGGTATAAATATGTGGTGGCCATTTTTGTATAGCGTGGACCTGAATAGACAATTTTCTGCTACAGGAGGTAGAAATGCTCTATCACATGCTGTTTGGACGTGATTACAACAGACGCATGGACATGGTTATATCGGTTTTGATTTTTACGTAGATCAATAATATATATACTTTCATGGGTCTGAAATGGTTGTATCGATGAGCTAAAAAAAGGACATTTTAAAACTATGTATAGTGGAGGACATAAAAAATTATTGTAAATTTAATAAATATCCAAAAATTGACCACTAAATATACAAAAAACAAATATCAAAATAAAAACTATCCCAATATCTTAGAAGTTGTTCCATTTTAATTCAGTTGCGGGACTAAACCCGGCGTGAAACTCTGCCGCATAAAATAGTGTTCCATTTATCGCCCTGAGGCAAAAAAAAACTATGTTTATATACGCGTAAAACTTCTTTACCTCGACTTTAACAAGTATAACCTTCTCACATCGTTTAATATAGCAATCCAGGTCGCGATCATCCACATGGATTTCTATATAACACGCCATGACCCCATAAAACTGTTTAATTGCTACTTTCCTAAAATTCCTTGCAGGATATATCGCATATACAGAAAAGACCCATAGAAGAGAATAAAAGTCAGACTTTGGATGTGGACTATATTTCCAATATAAACAATGGCTTCAATAACTGTTTGCTGTACATTACTAAATTAATTGGTACTTGAGATATATCTAAGTGTAATTGTTTCCACACTTTCTATTTCTATTCGCATTCTGAGCACAGGCGCCCAAGCATTAATGGCATGTTGTATATGTAAGTCAAATTATTACTAATATTGATCAATCAATTATATCACCAGACTGGCTAAAAGCTTACTGATAACACCATAAAAACATTCTCTACAAGTGTGACAAAAATTCATACAACGGCTATTCAAAATATTATTATACTTGGGTATAAATGTTTGTCAATGCGATCTGATCCGATTATCACCAATTTCAATAGAGACCAAACAAATATTGTTTGCAAAATTTCATCTCAATCGAATTTTGTTCACAAGAATGCAAGGACGAAGGTCTGGCATGCGTAAATTGACTCAGAAATTAATTCTATGAATATCCTCAAGTATGCGTCTTTTTCGCTTCCTTCTCCATGTTACAAACAAATGCACAGAAACATAATACCCTTACCACTTTGTGGTGTAGGGTATTATAATAGCATGTTTGGCTGCAAATGTGGTTTTAAAAGATTGTCATGATATGTTAACATTTTTACCAGTTTCTGGGGAAGTACCTTATTTTAGTCAGATTTTGATAGGTAAAGTACGTTGACAGTATAAAAAATTAATCTACTGGGTTCAATAGATCTAGTGGATAAACCTTGCGTGTTTTCATACACCATTAGGAGGATATAAATCCTGCAGAAGATAGCAGAAAATATATAGCGAAAAAAGCTATGCTATGCAGAAAAATGAAAAGCTAATATGGATCGAAATGACAAGCGTTTCTTCACATTGGTGAACGTCTTAAGGTGAATAATACATCTTCAAAGGCAAATACAATTTGAAGTTGTTTGCTCAAAGTCAAGTGATTCGATCACACAGAACACACTTCTGATCGCGCAAATACGGAGAATGGGAGATTTTACGGAGTCTACATTTGTTGTCTGTGGCAGCGCTCCCGAATCACTCCTGTTTGGCCAATTAGAGTGGCAGCAGAATCCCTGAAAATAGATCAAAAGTTCGAGTGAAAATGAGTAGAAAAAATATTTTGTTTGCTGAATTGTGTGTGCGTGTGTGTAACAGCAAACCGGTTTTGATGTTGGTGTGCGCTGTAGAAACCCAGAAAGCATTTGGAAGATTGTTTTCGAAAAAAAAAAACACTTTGCTGAGTCTCCTTCGAGTCCTTTTGATCGGAAAAAGATTCGAAAAAGAGTAAAAAGAGCTCAATTAAATAAACAATAACAAAATGTATGGGAATTACAAATTAATTAATTATTAATTGAACCCAGTAAAACGTGATTATTTTCCCGTTATTTATTATCGTATTGCGATATAAAGTGTATAAAGTTGGAAAAATTATTAGTCTTAAAAAGATCATGCAAATTTTTGAAAAGTGGTCACAGTAGCGTATTTTTAATCATATTTTGCACAGATTAAATACAGCTTGTTTTGCCGTTTTTGTCCAAGTAAAACGGGGATTTTGTTGTGTTTCTGGAGTGGCTATCAAAAAATTGAACTGTTCATTTTTCAGAAATTTTGCTGTCAATACAGCTGGAAGGGGACAAGTGCAAAGCATAGCATAAAAAAGTTTCTTTAGTGGCGATAATACAAAGTATGTAAGTTTCCATACATACTCCTGAAATTAATTTTTATTTTAAATAAACTTTTATGTAAACACATACGAATATTCACAAATCACGTAAGAGATTTGTAGAATCATAAACACTTAAATTTTACACAAAAGTGACTAAAAAACTCTTCATTGAACATATAGAAGAGTGATACATATGTGACAATAAAAAGACTAATAAATTACTCTCCTGGGACTCGTAAACAATCATAAAATAACTCGAAAAAGACTCGAAAAAGATTCACAAACTAAGTGAAATAGTACAATAAATGATAAAAACGCGATTCCAAAAAGACTAGATAAACTATCAGAAAATGGTCAAAGCAGATTCCTAAATTATGTAGAAGAAAACTCATATGTGATTTATTTAGAAGAGTCGCGGGAGGTCACATTTTTCTGACGACAAAATTATCTTTTATAATCAGAAAATACGCTCATATTCCAGCTTTTTAATCGCGCAAACAGGAAAACATGCTCCTATTCGAGCGACATCGAAAAATGAGTTTGCTTGATTTTTTCCCGCTCTCACGAGTGCATCCGCTCGAATTCAAATGAGTTTCACTTTTTGTACAAATTCGAGCACTCTCACCAAATTGGCTAATTTTATGTATCCGCGATTGGTTATATCTTCTAGCTATATCTTCCTCTCTTTCACATTTTACAAACAAATTAGAGGCTTTTTTCTATAAAAATATTACTTTCTTTTTTACTTACCAATATATTTTTATATAAATCCATTTTTCAATATTTCCTTTATTGTGTGTCTTATTCTTTTTCAGTAAAATGAATTGTCATATCTTCGCACCTTCTATTTAGAAATTACTTATATGGCACATAAGTAAGTTCGTATGTGTGTGATAAAGAAGTATTTTGTTTCTTTTCGATTTATTAACTTGGTTAAATATTTACTGAACACGTCACATTCGTATATTAAATGTGTTTGGTTAAATCAACATTCTAGAGGTAAGAAAAAATTAATTTGTTTTATTTTATTTTGTTTTCACTTTGGTACACCGATAAGTTATCGCAACCGTTTCTTTGTCAGTTGTTTTTAATCGAACTCGTTTCTAAAGATATTTTCAATTTTACCGACCTCCTTTTGGATGTTTTTAATTTATTATTTGTTTGGGTTTGGAAAAGTGTGTTTTTCGAACTTCGCGCAACAGTTGCACAATATTTCGCCGTTAACGGCTAGTTGGGTAAGAACGTTTTCGATAGACTAAAAGTGAGAGGGAACCATGAAATTCCCCCAACATACTATGGCGTGGAACAGTGGAGGTAGAATAATGTTCTCTTTCCTTGATTGGGGCTAGCATACTGGAATGATTAGATAAGAACATTTGTATATATTGTGCACAAGATATTATCTATTATTGGGAGCCAGATAAGATAACCACTTGTTCATTTATTTTTGGAGCAGTGTAGTAGCAATGATTTTTAAACATACTATTCTCCGTATGACAAATTCGAGGAAAGTATTTGTTGGGTACATATATTGACAAATTGTTTTTTTTTTCGTTATCGAATAGAGAAATGAACACTTTTCACATGCGTGAATGCACTTGCGAAAAAAAAAACGAAATTAACCGAAACAAGTTAAAAAGCAGTAAGTTTGGCCGGGCCGAACTTTGAATACCCTCCACCATTTGGAACGAATTTGGAAATAAAATCCTTAAAAAATTCTGTTAAAATTTTAAAAATACCGAATTTTCTGTCTTGGGCTGTAGTATCCATTTCGAACTTCAAATACCAAATTTGAAACAATTTCGTTGAATAATGTCGCCAACTTTATCAAAATACCGAATATCGGGAGGTACCGTTATATGGGGGCTATATGAAAACGAATATTTCGAATATTTACGAACTTTATCTGCCTACTGAAAAATAAACATATGTGCTAAATTTCGAAAAAAAAATCGACTTAGAGTTTTTCGCTGATCAGGAATATATATACTTTGTTGGGTCTGACACGAGTATTACGAGGAGTTACAAGCGGAATGACAAAGTTAATATACCCTCCATAGTATGGTGAAGAGTATAAAAAATTCTACACAGGTGAATGTGATGGGGAAAACTGTTCGCAAATGCAAGCTAAACGATTGATACACCTAACGCTGCGGTCTTGCTTTTTCCCATGGAAATAAAATCAAAGCTTACACACTGGATTAGTTTAGTCCGCAATTTAGGATTTATAAGGATGTTAAGGACGATGTATTACCTATTATCTTTTTGGCAACACTCGCTTAAACAGCTCACGCACGTTTCGTGTTTTATTTCAGTTCAAAACATCTTCAGTTTGGTTTAAAATTGAATTGAAAAGCATGAAACGAAAAGAAAGTTCTTCGGGCGCTTCTTCCATTTTATGGTAATTTTAATCGATCCACTGAAGAAAATTTACATTGTTGGACATTAAACCACCAACACGCCATCAATTGGGTTTCTGTTACTCATTTAACCAACGTGAAAATTTTGCGGAAGGATTTCGGCATTGCAAAACAATAGAGGCAGACACAGAATATGTCAATACTTTTCTGAAGTACTCGATGTTGTTATTTTTTAAATAAAGTCTATTCTCATATTTAAAATTGTTACGTATGACTAGTAGCATATTTTACAAAAATAATAAATAACCTATTATTTTCGGCGGTCCTTGGCACGTGAAAACAGTTATATGTTCCATATCTTTGGAAGACGAACTTTATTTATCATTTCTGGGCTTAAACATATAAAAATGGGAGTTTAAAGCACCCATTTTAATGAAACTTTATCGGTGCTGTTAGTTCTGGCATAGTCATCGAATGTTGTTTTATTTTAAGTCAGTCTTTATGAATCAAAACCCCATAAAACCGAGTGTAAATGTTGCTAAAATCTTCACAATTCCAGTATATAGTTTCTGTACAATTGACAACTGAATATTTTTTTTGTATGTTGGAAATAAAAACATATAATAAACAAGTAAAAAAGCAGCTAAGTTCGATCGGGGCTAACTTTTAATACCCTCCATTTTGAAGGAACTTGAAATTTTCAAAAAAAAAAAAACAGTAAGGAAAGCTCAAAAGTTTGAAGTACTTATTTCTATACTAAATTCGGTCGGAAGTGCCAAAATTCACACCATTTGGACTGATATTAGCCATTTGGCGCAAAAGAAACCTAAAATCGGATGAAGATATATATATGGGAGCTATATCTAATTTTGGACCGATTTTCACCAATTTCAATAGGGTTCGTCATTGAGCCAAACAAATGTTATTTAGAAAATTTCAATCTCAATCGAATAATAAATGCGACTTGCATTTTGTTTACAAGAATACATGGACAGACGGACGGACATGCATAAATCGACTCAAAAAAGGGTATAAAAATTCGTAAAAAAATACTTTTCATAAGTTATTTTTTTGTCATAGGCTGTAGTACCCATAACAAACATCATTTACGAAATTTGAAACAATTCTGGTGTATAATACCGCTAAAAGCATCAAAATACCGAATATAGGTATCGTCATATGAGGGCTATACGAAGACGAGAACCTGCATAGGGGAGAAAATTTTAGATAATTCTGGTAAAAAATGTCGCTAAAATCATCAAAATACCGAATATTGGGAGATACCATTGTATGGGGGCTATATGAAAACGTGGACCTACATGGCCCATTTACGAACTTAACCAGCCTACTGGCTGCTTGCAAGTTTTTGCAGGAATTCCGTCTCTTTACTTTTCTCAGTTTTCTTGTAGAGAATAAAACTAACTTACTCTCTCAGACAGAAGTTGCTGGACAATTCCTGGGGGAAAAGTAAGCAGACACACCTGTTTTAAGCTAGTAGATTTTAAAATATGGACCTGGCAAATTTAAAATTTTTGTGTACGTTGCATCGAATTTTAGGTAACGCTGTAGCATTTCCCAAGAACAAATGCCGCCCTCACTTTCAATATAAGTTTATTTCGATTGAATCAAATTGTATTTTTCTCTTCGATGTGTTTCGCACCAATACGAAGATTGATTCATTCAACATTATTTTTTATTGTCTTTATTAATTTCAAACCGAAGTTTGCTTTTCAACATTTCAAAATGCTGGCCCCTCTCCTTCGTGTTAATCAGTTAAGAAAACATGTGAACATATGTATGTATTTCGGAAGTTGAGAGCACATTTTTTCTTACAAACATTCATTGTCCAACGTAGTGATGACTAAGAGCGGCAGCGATTAACCATTCCGTTGAATGAATTTAATTTTTTTGAAAAAAATTCGGGGAATAATTTATCATACACATAACAGCTATTTATATGAGACATTGACAATGTGATGCGTCCATCAGGGGACTAACGTGTGTCTAGGCATTACCGAAAAAAATGTCAAATTGAGATTGATTTGGCAAATATAATTACAATTTAATTAACATTTGAATATACAGACAGATAGATAGCGGTTATAACCAGAAACAACTGCAAAGTCATGCACTTTCGGACTGAAATGCCATTAAACCAAATTATTAGAAGTCGTTGATTGACAGATGAACAAATATTCAAGATGTTTCTGGCACGTGAGAATGGTGTGAAGATTAGTTGTGCTAAACATTTTACAAATCGAGACTTATATACTTGTGTCAATGACAACGTCTAAAACCTTCAACTCACATACAAAACCACGTGTACAGTAAAGAAAGTCCTAAAGTCGGGCGGGGCCGACTTTATGATACCCTACACCAATTTGCTAATTTTGTAGAGCTCCACATAACAATTAAAACATTTTATGGGAGAAAAAAAGGACTAAATATGCCGAAACATTTGTATCTTTTAAATTCGGACTTGTATTGCCTATTTGGTTCAAAATTAATTTGAAATCAGATAAAGATATATATGGGATCTATATCCAAATCTGAACCGATCTCGATAAAATTTGGCAAAAATATTTCTGACCTGTATTTGATATATTTCCCTGAATATCGTTGTTACGGAGTGCATATTATGTCTGTGTGTAACAAATACAACAAATCGGATGTACAATATATATGGGAGCTATAGCTATATCTGAACCGATCTTCACCAAATTTGGCATACTAGCTTCTATACTCAATTCGGTCGTATGTGCCAAATTCCGTCCTATTTGGGCAAATATTAGATATTTGGCGCACAAAAAAAGGACGATGTTATATATGGGAGCTATATCCAAATCTGAACCGATCTCGATAAAATTTAGCAAAGGTATTTCTAAGCTGCATTTGATATATTTCCCTAACTATTGTTGTTACAGAGTGCATATTACGTCTGCGGAGGACAAAAATGACAAATCGGATGAACAATATATATGGGAGCTATAGCTATATCTGAACCGATTTCGATCAAATTTGGCATACTTATTTTAAGTCCTAATTTGGTTGTATGTGCAAAATTCCATACTATTCGGGCTTATATTACACGTTTGGTGCACAATTAAACGCAAATCGGACGAAGATATATATGGGAGCTTATCTAATTTTTTACCGATTATCTCCAATTTCAATAGGGTTCGTCCTGCGGCCAAACAAATGTTGTTTGGAAAATTTCATCTCAATCGGATAATAAATGCGACCTGCATTTTGTTCACAAGAATACATGGACAGACGGACTGACATGCGTAAATCAACTCAGAAAGTGATTCTATGGAGATCCTCAAAAGTAACTATGGGTATATCTTGCTTCCTTCTCCATGTTACAAACAAATGCACAAAGACATAATACCCTTACCACTATGTGGTGTAGGGTATAAAAAGGTGTCTAACCCAATGTTTTCTAATAAATTGTGCAAAATATTAGAACATTTTGTTCTATAACCCAAAAGTTTAGTAAATGAGAGTGAAAGTAGGGAGCAATTGTTCAATTTGCTTGCGTAGAGTTTGCAAATTCGTCGTGTCTAATTTTTTACACATATAAACCGAATCACTTAATGTGTTATAAGGTGAATAAAAACTCTGAAGGTGAGAATGCATAGAACGCTTTTTTGATCGGCTTAATTCATCGGCTGGTTTCTTCGGAAAAGAATAAAGGAGCGTAGGTCCAAAATCGAACTAATTCAACCTAGAACTCCTTTGTTCGTCTACGAAGAAGAAATATGTTTTATGTATTGCGTTTTATGTATTCTCACATTTATCCTTGGTACAAGTAAAGCATACTTGGTGCGGTTGAGTGTGTAAGTAGGGATCCTTATCGTTATGTCTGGATTGGGACACTTATGTATTATATTTGCAGAACTCCGATAAGATGCATTTTACTCGTGAGTGAAAGATTTTTGAAAAGTGGTAGTACTCGAAGAGTACGAATTTTACATGAAAATTACCCTACATTTGTATACCCTCCACCTTGAAAGGAGGGTATATTAACATTGTTATTCCTTTGTAACATCCCTAAATATTCGTCGTAGATTCTATAAAGTATATATATTCATAATCAGCATAAAATGCTCAGTCGATTTAACGATGTCCGCCTGTCTGTTAAATTAACAAACAGCTTATATTA